GGGTCCAGGCCCAGAGTTCAGGCCCCACCACCGGACCCCCCCCAAAAAAAATCAGAAAGTTCTTTATGGCAAAAACAAAGGCAAAAACCAAGGGGAAAAGTCATAAAAAATATTTTAAAGGGTCAATAATCCTATTTAAAATGCATATGGCTATCTCTTGTTGCGTTGTTTCAAATAGCAAAAAATTAGAAATAACCTCATTTAGAGGCTGATTAACTAAATTAAGGTTTTAGAAATGTTATTTACTCATTATAACTTCCAGTGAAAGTCATCCTAAGCCTATGTAGTCGAACATACCTGTAGTCATAGCTACTCAGGAGGCAAAGGCAGGAAGATCACTTGAGTCAGTAAGTTCAAGAGCAGCCTGGGTAAGGTAGTGACTCATCCATCTTAAGGTTTGGGTTTTGGTTTCTTTTCCAAATTATCCCAATGATTTTTCAAGACTGACTACAGTCTCAGAATGCTACAGAACACCTTGAGTTAACATTCTGACTTATTTCCTATTTGGCAAACTAAGAAATTAGTTAAAAATTTAAAATACAAGAAAGAAAAAACATTTGAATCCTTATCTTGGGGCTCATTTCGCCTAACATAAAGATTCAAATGTTTTTTCTTTCTTGCGATTGTTTCTAACATATTTATAAGATGATTTCTTTGTTGCTTTGTATGTACTTCCCCCATGGTATAACCCCTGTTTTCACTGTATTTGATGTTGGTATAATTTGTGGAGGGGAAGGGAAAAAACAAATTGTTTAAATAGGGATCCAGGTGGACCCATTGCAACAATGAGATGTACAAGATGTTATGTCGAAAAATGAACTTTACAGCTTGGGGGGAGAAGGGAGGAAGGAATGGGAAGGGGAAACAAAGGAGGAGGCAAAAATGCTTGATAAGAAATGTACTCATTACCTTGCCCATGTAATTATAACCCCTCTATACGCTATTTTCACAATTAAAAAAATTTTAAGTACAAACAGTGGTTTGCAAATGTTAAAAGCCTTTACAACTAAGCCATATGAAGTTCTGAGGTCTAACAAGGTATGTTATATTAAAGGGATGCAAATGGTAAGAAAAACAATGAAAGTAAGAAATTGATAGGAGAGGATGTGGCTTCTGCAATAGAAATATACCAAAATTCACTCAGTACCGATGGCTTACGCCTGTAATCCTGGCTACTTTTGAGGTGGAAAACTTGAGGATAGACATTCAAAGCCAGCCCTAGTAGGAAAGTTGTTTTTGTTGTTTTGTTTTGTTGGTTATGGGGCTTGAACTCAGGACCTGGAGCTGTCCCTGAGCTCTTTTTCTCAAGGCTAGTACTCTATCACTTTGAGCCACAGCTCCACTTCCACTTTTCCAGTGGTTATTGGAAATAAGAATCTCAAGGACTTTCTTGCACTGTCTTTGAACTGTCATCCTCAGATCTCAGCTTCCTGAGTAGCTAGGATTATAGGTATGAGCCTGCAGCACCTTGCTTCATGAGCCTCTTATCTCCAGTTAACCACAAGAAAACTGGAAGTAGAGCTGTAGCTCAAAGTGGTAGAGCTCTAGTCTTGAGCAAAAAAGTTCAGGTACAATACCCAGGCCCTGAGTTCAAGCCCCTGATTGACAAAAAGAAAAGAAAAATACCAGAGGTCTTCAGCTTATTATAGCAGTAACCTAGAGTTGTAGCAAAAGATTACAACAGCACATGTGGTATGTGTGGACCATATCATATGAGTCTGTATTTGGTTTCTTGCTTGTTGTATACTATATTCACCCATTCATTCCAGACTGGCAACTTACCTTCTCATTTCAAACAAGATAATTTAAAAGGAGGGAATTATATTTTTAAAACTTAAAGAGCTAGAGGCATGGCTCAAGTGCTAGAGCACCAGCCGTGAAAACGTAATAGACATACAGATATGAAAACCTAAAGAAGTCATTATTCACAGATCATTAAACTCAATTGTAAGATTAGGTAGAGTGTGGTCATAAGTGATTATGAAAGACAAAAGCGATCAATCTTCAAGACACTGAATATTAAATCAAGAGAGCTTATAAATATATACAGTTCCATAAAAACTAGTCATTTCTGCCTAAGCTTTGTTTACTGAATGATTTACATCTGTATTTTTTCCTAACTATTTTTCCTTAAGAGAAAAAAGAGAAAATGTATAGATAGAAACCTAATAGGATGTACAAATTTAAGTCTATATTTGTCAGCTACAAACTAGTGTGTCTATTAGGGCATATTTTGCTTTGCCTTTTGGTTTCCCTAATCCAAGCTGGGGCTGAGTATTTCTCCAATGTATGTACCTTTCATTTCCTCTTCACTTTCTACATTTCCATTGCTGTCTATGTCCTACCCTTTGGATGGGTTTTCAGAGGATCAGCTCTATGACACCTATTCACACAAATAGTCACAGAACTGAGTGCCTGTCTCGTTGGTGATTAATAAGTATTTTTATTAAATTAGTTATCAAATATAACAGATACAGCATGTATTTCATATACTAGTAATCTTCTAAATAGCCAACATTTTCATTTTGGCCCGTTACTTAATATTTTATTACTTATTTAAAAAGCAGATTTGTAAGATAAACATAACAGGAACTGAACCTTAAGACGTTCACTATAAAAAACAAATTTAGACAGATATTCAATATAAACTTCTAGAAAACAAATTATCCAAGCCTAGTTCTCTTTTTCTCATATAACTCAGAAGTAGGTGTAGTAGAGATAACTCTTTCATGCTGTCTTTGTTTCCAAGTAACCATAGAAAGTATTCAAGATTATTTGGGTTATTAAGATGCTACATGGTTTGTCTTTATAACTGAAATACTTGATGACTCATTTAGACATCAAAAATCCAAATAACTATATTCTATAAGTGCTTAAAGGGAATAAGAAATTACTGTGAAAACTCCACCAGGACCTTCTGAAGCTGTTCTGCCTGAAAAGGCCAGGAGGGGGCAGCAAATCCCCAGGAAATGTTAAAAGAATCCTGATTTGTTCCTATACATCTGAACTCGCATGGACCTACTAGACAGTGGATTAAATATCTGATGACTCCAGACAAATTGTATTTTCAAAGTAGTGGAAGCCTTGGAATTGTTTAAATCATTTTATTGACTAAGTATGTTGTTGCTAATTATAACCTACTGGCTAATTTATAATAGGTGTAATATATGACAAGTTTTCAGCCAATCAGAAAGTAGAGAGGAAAAAGATAAAAGAACAGGGAAAAGTAAAAGCTGAAAAATGCTTAAGTACTGTATAATACCTCACATTTGCATAATTGATAGCGTTCAACCTAATAATGAATAATTTACTGCTTATCATACTAATCATTTAAATACAGCCCTAGAAATTATAATGAAATCAAGTAACTTTTAAGCTAGTGATTTTTTTTTTTAGATCAACTAACTTTACTCATTCTTTGTGTAAGTAAATTATTTTATAAAAATGGAAGAATTTATCCTGTGACACAGGTTCTTCAGCTTAGAGTGATACCCAATTAGGCTTTGAGGTATGGCTCAAGTGGTTGAGCACTTGCCTAGAATGACACCCAGTATCCTCACACAATTGATCAAACCTGTAAGATACTGCTAGTATATAATCCTTTTTCAGACTAATAAAATTATAATGGTATGGAAAAATCAGATTTTTTTTTAGGGGGAGGGTCTGGTCGTGGGCCTGAACTCTGGGCCTGGGCGCTGTCCCTCAGCTCTTCACCTCAAGGCTAGCACTCTACCACTTGAGCCACAGTGCCACTTCCGGCTTTTTTCTGCTTATGTGGTACTGAGAAATCAAACCCAGGGCCTCAGGCATGTGAGGCAAGCACTTTACCACTGAGCCATCTTCCCAGCCCTGGAAAAAATTCGATTTTTTTTTTTTTAAAAGATGAACAATTTGCTAGGCACCAGTGGCCACACCTATTTATAATCCAACTTCCTCGGGAAAGTAAGATCCAAAGGTCATTGTTTGAAGCCAGCCCAGACAGACAAATCCAAAAAAACTCTTTTATCAAAAAAAAAAAAAAAAAAAACCATAAAGACTGCCTAAATTTTTTTTTTAGATAGGAAGACTTCTTTCCAAAGTAGCAAGATTAAAGTCAACACACACACACACACACACACACAAATCAGCTTTGCTACTATCAGTCAAGAACGGGTTGGAAAGAAATTGGGAAACCAATCCCATTTACACTAGCCCAGAATAACTCATGAACATAAACCCAAGCAAATGAAAGAGCTCTTCATTGAAAACGATAACACATTAAAGGGATACATTGAACAGGACAGTCAAACTTGGAGAAGGCCTCTCCTCCCATATGCACGGATTGGCAGGATTAGTATTGTGCCAGATGGCCATTATTTCCTTGCTTTTTAAGATGTTATTTCATAAAAAGCTTTACTCATAATGGCTTTCCTCGGGGAGGAAGGTAACATCTTCTACATAGCCAAAGACAAATACATGGAAACATATTTGTAACAAATGCGGTGTAACCTTAACAAGAACCGCACACACGCACGCGCGCACACACACGCACACATACACACGCACGCGCGCACACACTCGCACACACACACGCGTGCGCGCGCACACACGCACACATACACACGCACGCGCGCACACACGCACACATTACACACGCGCGCGCGCACACAATTTTTTAAATGGGGAAAGCTATTTCTCCAAAAAGTAACAAGGGGTCAAATCTAAATCTCAAGCTAAGTTAAAATAGGAGGTTTCCGATGGGGTAGAGGCGAGAGCCTGGGAGCCGGGGACAGGGGCGTCCTTGAACTCGGGAGCCGGAGGAGGGCCTGTCCTGGAAGGGCGGGTGACGGTGAGACCTGGCCCAAACCAGGAAGGCGGAGAATAGGATCCACGCGCTGATTGGGTGTCTGTGGGGAAAAGGGCGGAGGACGAATAAAACTCATGGCGCTGATTGGGTGTGTGTGAGTGAGGGGCGGGGAGGACGGAGTCTCCCTGGACTCGCGAGAGGAGAGCGGCGGGGGTACACTTCCGGTCTTTGTGGTTTGCCACTCGGGGTCGGCGGCTGGCGCCCTGGCAACTCTTGGGTTTCGCGGTGAGGGACGCGGGCCCGGACGCAGAGGGAGGGGACGGCAGGGTGGGTGCCCGACCTGGCGCGGGGTGGAGGAGCCGCACTCCTGGGTCTGCCTGTTGGGGCGGAGTCTCGGGGCGTGCGGTCCATCCCAGCCTCTCCGGTGGGAGCGCGGTCCTCCGCGCCGGGCCCTCCCTGAGAGCTACTGCGCCTTCCCGGGGTGTATAGTAGGAAGCCCGAGTATGCTAATGAGAATGCTAATGAGCATGCTAATTAGCCCCTGAAGCTCTCCGTGGTGCTGGGAGGCAGTTCCTCTGTTTGTCTTGCTGATTACACTGAAGGGGACTTGCTCCTGTGGATAGACCACCCCCCATCCCAAAATCCAGACGTTCGGGCTATATCACAGAATTGAATACAGAACTCTCAAGTGCCATATTGCGCTTGTGAAATAGTCTCTTCCCAGAATACTCTTCAGCTCTGAAGTTGGCCCTTTTGCATCTTTTAGTTTTACAATATCTAGCCTGCTTTCGAACGCATGGTAGGAGTTTTACAATTTTTTCTTGCTTTATGCCTCAAGCAGGTTCACTCATGAGCAACAAGCATTCTTTTAACCAAATGCACATGTAGGACAGAGCAATACTAAGTTCCTCTGTTTGTTGAAGAAATATTTGGTCACTAAATGTGAACAAATGGCTTATGTTCCACATTACTTCGTTTAAATCAACTCATTTAATTTTAGAGTGTGTGGGGAGGGGGGATTGGGACTTGAACTCAGGTTTTTCAGCTCTTTATTGGCCTTTTCACTCAAGGTTGACACTCTTAACTCTTAAGCCACATCTTGCTTCCAGCTTTTTGCTGTTTAATTCAAGAAAAGAATCTCATGGACTTTTGTTGGATTCCCACTATGATCCCCAAATTCTAACATACTGAGTAGCTAGGAATGAGACACCAGTACCCAGCTAATTTGAGTTTTTAAAAATGTTTTATTACTGCCCTAAGGGAAAATCAATACCTGCTATCAATAGGAGATAACTAAAAATAAGACTTGTAAAGTTGATGTTATTGAATTCTAGCTGGATATCATTATTACCCATGGAAGCCTGGATCAGAGGCCTCTATTTTAAAGTTCTGCAAGTTTTACATATATGTTAAAGGCACATTTTTCTCCTTGATGTGATCAAAATTGAAAGATAATTCACCCTGTGGCTCATGCCTGTAATTCTGGCTACTCAGGAGGCTGAGATCTGAGGATCTTGATTCAAAGCCAGCCCTGGCAAGAAAGTCTGTGGGACTCTTATCTCCAGTAAACTACTCAGAAAAAGCCAAAAGTGGAGCTCTGACTTAAGCGGCAGGGCATTAGTCTCGAGCAAAAGGCTCAGGGACAGTACACTGAGTTCAAGCCCCAGGACTGGCACACACACATCCCCACCAAAAAAAAAAGAAAGATAATTTAAAAAGGTAATAATCTAGGTGATTCATGTTCATAATTTCTAACAGTGATAGGAATTACAAGTAAGGCGAATGTTTTTAGTTCGACACTAGATTGCTATTTAGTGATAGTCCCAAATTTGCTTCTTTCAATGTTACTGGTTTATTATAAGACTTTTAGAGAATTTTTTTTCCTGCCAAAAGTTAACAGAGCTTTTATATTCTACAGGAAAGAAAAGATTACTCAAATCTCCAGCACAGAACTAGTTGTACTGTGCTTCTTCTTAAGCTGCTTCAGCCCAGAATGGCTGTGGAATCCAGAGCAATTTCAACTCAGGATCATCAGGAACAAGGATTACTACTGGTGAAAATAGAAGATGGCTTTTCCTGGAGCCATACATTTAAACAGAATGGAAGCACCGAATCCTGCCAAGAATTGTTTCGCCAGCAGTTCAGGAAGTTTTGCTACCATGAGACACCTGGACCTCGGGAGGCTCTGGGCCGACTCCAGGAGCTTTGCTATCAGTGGCTAATGCCAGAGTTGCATACCAAGGAACAGATCCTAGACCTACTGGTGCTAGAGCAGTTTCTGAGCATTCTGCCCGAGGAGCTGCAGATATGGGTACAGCAACATAGTCCAAGAAGTGGAGAGGAAGCTGTGACCCTGTTGGAGGATTTGGAGAGAGAGTTTGATGATCCAGGGCAACAGGTAGGAACAGATTGAAGTGATATAGGAAAAGGAATTTATAGCCGAGAGTGAGCGTGTAGTATACCAACAGTAGGTTGCATAGCTATATGTCTGTAATAAACCATATTCCTGATGTAATGATAGAGACATACCTGTCTGTGCCCTTAAATGGGTTTTTTTGGTCCCTATCCTTCATCTGTGAAGGTGGGCCAATCTAGTCATTTTTTTTCTTTTTTAAAACTATCTTGTAATTGTACAAAGGAGTTTCAGTTTAAGAAATCAGTTTAGAAAGATTTATAATGCATTTTGATAATCATGTTTTTCTAATTTCAGGTCCCAACTAGTCCACAGGGACCAGCGGTGCCATGGAGGGATCTGACATATCTCAGAGCATCCAAGGAGTCAGAAAACATCCAGCTCCAACTCCAGCCTCTGAAGACACAGTTGAAGTCCTGGAAACCTTGCCGTTCCTCCAAAAGTGGTGAGGAATAGAAACTTACCAGGAAACTCCTATCACTTAGGGTTCTGGTTTTGAGGATGCAGAATTAATTACATTTGCAAGCTTGCCACATGCGAGCATCACTTTCATTCATCAGAACCAGAGTTGCTTGCTTCAGCAGCTTTGTGTTCAGCAGACCTCTAATGGGTTGCAGCTAGTTGTTCTTGTGACAGTTTCCCCTCTCATTCATTCACTTATTTAATCATCTTTCCCCTAGTTAGTGAGTACTAAAATGTCTAATGCCATGGTAAGCACTGAGACTCCATCTTCAAGAAATTTTCAGTTCGAGGTGAATATATTACAGTAGGCACTAGTTAGTATGAGAACACATACAGTAGCGCCTAACCCAATCAGAAAGACAAAAGGAATGCTTCCTGGGAAGAGACACCTAAGACTTGGAAGATAAGTAGGAAGAAGCCAGATAAATGGGTGGAAGGAATGGCCAAGCAAAGAATGGCCACAAAGTTCTAGGAGAGAATATACCCATTCTGGAAATTGTAGGAAATTTTGTTTGAGGTGAGAAGATAATTGATTTAAAAAAAAAAAAAAAAGAGTAGTAAGAGAGAAACTAAAGTTGCAAAAATACATTTACTCAATGCAGAGGGGTGCAGTTTGGACAAGGGAGTGATGTGATTAGATTTTTAGAACTTGGCTGCAGAGTGGAAAGTGGATTTGAGGAAGGCAAGGCACTGAGCCACTTGTTATCAAGGTGGCCACAGTGAATAAATCAGCATGTGTTTTGGGGGAGGGTGGGAGAGGTCAAAGCAATCCCATTCCTCAGTGGTGAAAGTACATTTCAATATCTAGTCATCGTTAAAAAGCAGAGAGTGAGGAAGGGTGGCACACTATTGATATCTCAGGTAATGGTGGTACTGTTTTCATGTAAAAGGGGAAACACAAGGACAAACAAAGCATCTGAGGATATGTGAGGATGTTTTAGTTTGAAGTATTTTTATGCTTGTAAAATAGTCACAGTAAAATATTAGTCATTATTGAAACTAGTACATTGAAAGTTTGTAAAAGTGAGGACATGCGAGAGCCTTGAACAGAATCAGGAACACCGGTGTTCCAAGTGTGATTAGGAGCCCAGGCCATGAAGGATCAGCCATAGAAGTGAGACAAACGCGTGAATATATATAAAGGAAAGTGTGGACCTCACACTTACTGCTTCAAAAAGCCAAATAAGTAAGATCCAGAAGGTATGCATTGGGTTACAAAGTTGTGATGTTAGTGTTCTTGATGAGATCAGAACCAGTGGAAGCAGTGTGGTTTACATGGAGGGTAAGGTAGAAACTAGACTGCAGAATGGGAAGGTGTGCAGATAACCCTTTCTGTTGCACTGAGCTTGATTTTTTTTTTTTTTAAGGGGGAAATTTGAATTTATTTAAATGCTGAAAAGCAATAATCTAGAAAGAGGTTGAAAATAATAGAAAATACTTAATCAATTGAAGTCTTAAAGGAGGCAAAAAGGATGAAATTCAAAGTTTAGATGTAGGCTTTAGTTATAGCATCTATTTTGGCCAGTTGAAGGAAAGATAGTTACACTGACATCTTTGTAGGTAAACCTCTCTGTTTTCTACCATGTTGAAAGTGAATACTGAGCCAATCACAGTGTAGACCTGTAATTCCAGCTACTTGAGCAGCTAAGGTAGGAGGCTCTCATAAGCCCAGGAGTACCAAAGCCTGGGTACTCATAAGCCTGGGTAACATACCTTGTTTAAAAAAAAAAAAGAGGTGAATATTGAAAGACAGGAGAAATATAAAGTCTGATTTTTCCGCCTTTTTTGCTAGTTATCATTTCAGATTGTGAGAACAATGAAACAGCAAGTAATATCATTTCAGAAGAAAAATCACAGGAACTCTGTCAGGAAGCTTCATTTGGAGGAGGTGATGGGCAGGAAAGCAGCTTAGAGTGGCAGCAAGCAAGTGCTACACGGGAGAAGTTAAGAAGATCCCCTCCCCATGGGGGCAGCTTCAGTCAAGTGATCTTCACACACAAATCTTTAGGAAAGAAAGACCATGATGATGAGCCTCAAAGATTCTTGATTCTAAGTGCAAACTCTATAACATGTCAGAAGGTTCCTGCAGAAGAAAGACCTTATAGATGTGATGTCTGTGGGCACAGCTTCAAGCAGCATTCCTCTCTCACTCAGCATCAAAGAATCCATACTGGAGAAAAGCCCTATAAGTGTAACCAGTGTGGAAAGGCCTTTAGTTTGAGATCATATCTGATTATTCACCAGCGAATTCATAGTGGTGAGAAAGCATATGAATGCAGTGAATGTGGGAAAGCCTTCAATCAGAGCTCAGCTCTCATTAGACATCGGAAAATTCATACTGGTGAAAAAGCTTGTAAATGTAATGAGTGTGGCAAAGCATTCAGTCAAAGTTCGTATCTCATTATACATCAAAGAATTCACACTGGTGAAAAGCCCTACGAATGTAAGGAATGTGGGAAAACTTTTAGCCAGAGCTCAAAGCTTATTAGACATCAGCGAATTCATACAGGAGAGAGACCTTATGAATGTAATGAATGTGGGAAAGCTTTTAGGCAGAGCTCAGAGCTGATTACTCATCAGAGAATACACAGTGGGGAGAAGCCCTATGAATGTGGTGAATGTGGGAAAGCCTTCAGTCTGAGCTCCAACCTCATCAGGCATCAGAGAATTCACAGTGGAGAGGAACCTTACCAGTGTAACGAATGTGGTAAAACCTTCAAAAGGAGTTCAGCCCTTGTTCAGCATCAGAGGATCCATTCTGGGGATGAAGCTTATATATGTAATGAATGTGGGAAGACTTTCAGGCACAGATCAGTTCTCCTGCGCCATCAGAGGGTCCATACTGTAAATTTGTGAATATGATGTTTGTTTAAATACTTCTGTCAGATTTTTCTCTTTTAGAGCAGGTGACTTTGGAGCAACAGTTCAAGGTTGTGAACTACTGTCTTGAGTCACCTAATTTCGTTTACGCATCACTTCCTAATGCTACTACAAATCATCCCTTGAAGATTTTCCTTGTGACTTATCAGGATAACATGGAAGACTCTGATCCCAGCTTTTCTCTTAACTGTTGGAATACTCAGGAAATAGCAAAAAGCGGTGATGGAACATCAAAACCTCATTTTTGAGAATGTTATGAAAGGGCATGAGGCTCTAGGCTCTGTCACTGCATCTCATAGTCTAGTGTGCCAGGTTTGAGAGAGAATGTAGACAGCCGGAGGGACATTTCCTCAGGAACTCAAAAACAGTGATGCACAACAAGAAAGATGGGGAAACCGTTTTATCAAGTCTGTTGAGCATGGGGCAAGCTAGAAATAAGGCACAAGAAGAATACAAATTGTCCAGTGATTTTTATTTTGGCCAGCTTTGGGGTTTGAACTAAGTGCCTGGGTGCTGTCCCCAAGCTCTTTTGCTTAGCCTAGTCCTCTACAAATTGAGCCACAGCTTCACTTTCAGTATTTAGTGGTTAATTGGAGATTAAGAGTCTCCCAGACTTTCCTGCCTGGGCTGGCTTTGAACCATGACCCTCAGATCTCTCAGCCTCCTGAGTAGCTAGGATTATAGGCATGAGCCACTGGTGCCTGGCTTCAATGATTCTTTTTATTAACACCTGCTTTGCATCAAAGATTAAGGATACAATGGGAAACAAGACCTAATTCTGCAGTCAGGAAATGAACCTAACATGGTCAAGGCTATGTGGCTAAGGGTATTCCTTAAGCACTTTCCTCATTTCCTTATCCAAGAAGTTAAGAAAGAAAATTGCTGAAAGAGGATAGGCCAAAAGACAGTGTTCCCAGTGAAGGAATAACAAAGCCCAGGAAGAAAGTTCTGGCCTTTCTAGTTGTTGAAATGGGGGTCATGTTTATAACAAACACGGTTATATCCCTGAGATGGCCAATGTATGGGCATGCACTAACTATTAAGAATGGCATGCCGGGTACCGGTGGCTCACGCCTGTAATCCTAGCTACTCAGGAGGCAGAGATCTGAGGATCATGGTTCAAAGTCAGCCCAGGCAAGAAAGTCCATGAAACTCTTATCTCCAATAAACCACCAGAATACCAGAAGTGGCACTGTAGCTCAAGTGGTAGAGCACTCACTTTGAGCTGAAGAGCTGAGGGACAGCACCCAGGCCCAGAGTTCAAGACCCATGAACTACTGGGAAAAAAAAGTGGCAGGATATAGCTGGATGCTGGTGACTCACACTTGTAATCCTAGCTACTCAGGAGGCTGAGATCCCAGGATCATGGTTCAAAGCCAGCCCGAGTAAGAAAGTCTGTGAGATTCTTATCTCCAGTTAACTACCAGAAAACTGAAAGTGGTGCTGTGGCTCAAAGTGGTAGAGCATTAGCCTTGTGCAAAAAAGCTAAGGGATAGCTCCCAGGCCCTGAGTTCAAGCCCCACAACCACCACCACCACCACCAACAAAAAAGGTGGGAAACCTAAATGTCCAGTGTGGTGAGAATATGAAATAAGAAAAAGTATTATTTGGAAAATATGGCAAAAGATAACAAAATAGAGCTACTCAGCTGATTTTCTTTGTTTTCTACAGGGAAACACCCAAGCTGCAATGAGTAAGGTGTTAATGTAGGAATTGATACATTGTAAAAGGAAAATGGTTTCTATAGAGAGATCTTAGATCAGTAAGAAGTACATGCTAAGGGCTTTGTATATATGCATTAATTATTTCACTACAGTGCATATTTTCTGGATGAGGAAATAAGGTTAATGGTCATAGCTAAAAGCTACTGTGTTCAAAGCTTCAATTCATAACCCTACTTTGGAGCCACTTTATTCAGTTTCCCTGTGAAAAGCTTCCAACAGAAAAACTTGTATTTGGCTTGGAGTATACTTCTCAATCCTCAGTATTGAAAATTTAAGACTATGAAAGAAAGCCAAGCTCATCATCATAGAAGAGTTACAGGTGTGAGCCTCTGGTACCTGGCTAAAATATATTTAAGATTAGGGAAGTAGGCTGGGGATGTAGCTTAGTAGTATACTAGTGTGTGTGATGCACTTGTTTAATTTTCTGAACCAAAAAAGCCCAGGATAGTTGAGGAAATAAAAACATTTGCTTTCCTGAACATCTCTGTCCTTTCCAAGTCTGTGTAGCAAACATAACTCTGAACTTCAATTTCATCACTGATCAAATGACACTGGCAGACTTGACCCATCTCATGTAGGATTAAGAGAATCCTCTACAAGTGGGGCTGTGACTCAAAGTGGTAGAACACTAGCCTTGATAAAAAGAGCTCAGAGACAGCAACCAGGCCCTGAGTTCAAGCCCCACAAATGACCAAAAAAAAAAAATCCTGTACAAATTCAAAGATGCATTGTATTTATAAAATGCTTTGTTGAATGGCAACTCCTTTGCACAAGAGATTATACATTTTTTAAATAGAGAAAAAATTCGCTAAATTCTAAATCCCTGTGCAAAAGTTACAGCCTTGAATTTCAAAACTATAATCTTGAATTGCTTTTCCATAAATTTAGCCAACGCAAGGCACCTCACAACTCAGGTTAAAGGCTCTCTTACAGTTGCTTCAGAATTCTGCAAGTATGAAATGAAAGGGGCTTCAATATAAGCTGGATATCCAAGGAATTTTTTCTCATTCTCTGTGAAAGGATTAAAAAGCATTGTCAGCCAGGTGCTGGTAGCTCATGCCATAATTGTAGCTATTCAGGAGGCTGAGATCTGAGGATTATGGTTCGAAGCCAGCCAGGGCAGGAAAGTCCATGAGACTTTTATCCAATTAACCTCAGAAAACTAGAAATGGAGGTGTGGCTCAAAGTGCTCTAGCCTTGGGACAGTGCTTAGGCCCTGATTCCAAGCCCCATCTCTCTCTCTCTCTCTCTCTCTCTCTCTCTCTCTCTCTCTCTCTCTCATACACACACACACACACACACACAAAAGCATTATGTCCATATGAAATCTTGTACCAGAATGTTTATAACACCTTTATTTGCAATAGTAAGAAAAAGACTGGAAACAACCCAAAATTAGTGTTTTGTGAAATGAAAGGTTAGTACAGCTGGAAAAGGCTGTGGACCTGACCACCTGCTAGAGTTAAGGCAATGACAACTTTCTTTGCTATATCCAAGTGTGAAAATGGAACAGTGAAGCTTGTTGAGATTGGTCTGGAGGGAGTGGGAGAGAGGGAGTCTAATCAAGGTACATTTTGTAAGTGAATGAATGGACAAATCAAAATGGGACCCTTGTATACTAATTGATGCTAACCAAAATGCCCATCAACTACCTATCACATTGTGATCACTACACACAAGTTTTTATTCAGCAACCCAAAGGGATGAACTATTGATACAGCAATAATGACAAATCTCAAGGTTTCTCTCAATGAAAGAAGACTGGCCTAAATAAACAAATATGTTTAATTCCACCTCAATAGGTCAACAAGTACAAAAGATCACTAGCAGTTGAGAGGGGGGAGGAACTGGATGAGGAAACGTAAGAGTTGGTAGATGTGCACACTTCCGTGGTGATGGTTTCATGGCTGGGTGTGAGAACATCAAATTACAGCCTTTAGACATTAGATGTTTGTGTCAGGGCTTGGACGCAGGCCTGAGCACTGTCCCTGAGCTTTTCCGCCCAGGCCAGCGCTCACAGCTCCAATTACCGTTTTCTGATGATTGATAGCAGATAAGCGTCTCACGGACTTTCTTACCCAGGCTGGCTTCGAACCACAGTCCTCAGATCTAAGCCTCCTGAGCAGCTAGGCGGCCAGCTAAAACTTCTTAAAAAATAAAAATAAAAAGCACTCCCATTCTCCAGGACTCCGGAGTCAGCGGGAAGAAAGAATGGAAGCTCAGCTGCGAATCACCCTCCCTGAGGGCCTGCCGCGGCCACCGGCATGGGCAGGGTTAACTCCCCAGGCACTCCCACCGACACGCCCTCCCTCGCGCATGCGCAGTAACCACCCCAAGCTCAGCGCTGGACCCTTGCGGACGCCCCGGCATCCCGCGCGAACGCTGGGCGCTGGGCGGGCAGCCGGAGCCCACCTGGAGGTACGCGTGTTGACCCCCGGGGCGGGGGGGTGTGGGGGGCGCCGGCCACTTCCCCCAGGGCGATCGGTCCTTGGCCTAGGGTGCTGGTGGCAGCCGGTCCCCCGCGCCCTAGGCCTTGGGCTGCAGGGGAAGAGGCCGGGCGTGTCTGCAGAGGTGCAGGTGGCACCACCCAGTGTGCGCACATCGCGCCGCCGATCGGGCTGCTGGACTGTGGTTTGTGGGTGAGGCGCGAGGAAGGCCGGCGTGTGGGCGCCCCCGGCCGGCAAGCCTGGGAATGACAGACACACCTGCCCGCACCCCAGCTGCCCCGCCTGGACGTTCCCTCACCCCCTCCCCGCTCCGTCCCTAGCCCCCACACTTTGAACAACTCTCCACTAGAAAGGAGTTCAGGAGGGCGATGAGGGCAACTCGTGGAGGGAGGGGGAGAACGTTGAGTAACTTGGAAATGAACCGTTTCGTGTTTTCCCCCTTCGCCTTCTTGTGTAGGTGGAGGCCGTCTCTCTGTGTAACGAGTCCCATCTCCAGTCTGCACAGGGATTCTCTTCTGAGCCCACAGATGGCCAGTTGCCTCCAGGTCCCTGGCCCTCTGGTACACAAGGAATTGGAAGTTCTCCAGGGGTGCCCTGAGGCGTCCACCTGCAGCCCATGGAGATCCAGTTCGAGTATGAGTCTCAGGAACACCAACTTCTGACAGGTGAGGAGCAGTGTGTTGTGTACTACTCCAGGGTCTCAGGCAGAGAATGTCTCTTGTGTCTTCAAATGATATCAATCTTCTTCATTGCCTATGCACTCACTTTGCTAAGTAGTAGTATTTGTGTAGTGCTTGGAACATAGTTGTATGTCTTTGAGTTCTAGCAACCACATTTTTATTCGGTTCCTTCCTCTCCTCCATCTGTCTTTGGTGATACTGGGGCTTGATCTCAGGGCCTCACACTTGCTGGCTGGCACTTACAGACCTGTTTGGTTTTCTGCTAGTTATTTTGGAGATAAAGCCTCTTAGACTTTTCTACCCAGGTTGACTTTGAACTTTGATCCTCAGCTTCCTGACCAAAGCAATCACATGACCAATTCCAGATCATTATAGAAGAGAATGACACAAAGATACTGATATTGAGAGGCTTCTTTTTTTTTATTGTGAAAATACTGTACAGAGGGGTTACAATTACATGGGCAAGATAATGAGTACATTTCTTGTTTTTTTTTGTAGTTAAAATACCATCATTTATTTCTAGGGGCAAACACATTTTGTGTGAAACCTAAATGAAAAACATAACACATTATATACAAAGCTTTGGTAAAACACAGGTCTGGCTTACAATGGTGAACACTTAAGTTTGCATATACAGTGGTGTTGCAGGGTTGTTAAGGTTTATGGAAGTCCATCCTTTTGATGAACTTGATATGATGAAATTACCTAACCATACATAACCATATATATATACATACATATATACATATATATGTATATGTATGTACACACACGTATGTATTTATTAAGTGACATGTAAATAAAAATAAATATTTACATTGAATAAATTTAGTGAACCGATACTTTTCCCAAAGAATTATTTTACCTGAACCAATTCATGTCTTAAAGTCTCCAATGCTATACACTTACATGGTTGCGATCCCCTTCAGCTTTTTTTTTATTTTAATAGTTTCATTTTTATTTTTATTTTTCGTGAAAATGCTGTACAGAGGGGTTACAATTACATGGGCAAGATAATGAGTACATTTCTTATCAAGCATTGTAGCCTCCTCCTTTGTTTCCCCTTCCCATCCCTTCCCATCCTCCCCCTGCCCCCCCCCAATCCTCTCCAGCCCCCCCTCCACCAAAGTTGTGAAGTTCATTTTCGACATAACTTGTACATCTCACTGTTGCCATGGGTCCACCTGTATCCCTATTTAAATGATTTGTTTTTCCCCTTCCCCTCCACAAATTATACCATCACATACAGTGAAAGCAGGGGTTATACTGTTGGGGAGGGACATACAAAGCAACAAAGAAATCATCTTATAAATGGGTTAGAAACAATCGCATGAAAGAAAAAAAACATTTGAATACATATCTTAGGGTTCATTTCCCTAACGTCACCTTATCTGACATTTTCTGCTTAACTCAGACATATACTAGATATTACAAATAAGGGAAACCATGGGACCTATGTTTCTTTGGGCCTGGCTTATTTCACTTAATATAATTTTTTCCAAGCTTTTCCATTTCCTAACAAATGGGGCAATGTCATTCTTTCTGATGGAGGCATAGAATTCCATTGTGTATATATACCACATTTTCTTGATCCATTCATCTACTGCGGGGCATCTGGGTTGGTTCCATATCTTAGCTATAGTAAATAGTGCTGCAATAAACATATTCGTGCTGATAGCTTTAGTGTGGTGTTGTTTGTAAACATTTGGGTCCCATGGTTTCCCTTATTTGTAATATCTAGTATATGTATGAGTCAAGCGGAAAAGGTCAGATAATGTGATGTCAGGAAAATGAACCCTTAGATGTGTATTTTAATGTTTTTTTTCTTTCATGCATGTGTTTCTAACACATTTATAAGATTATCTCTTTGTTGCTTTGTATGTCCCTCCCCCACAGTATAACCCCTGCTTTCACTATATTTGATGTCAGTATAACTTGTGGAGGAGATGGGGAAAAACCAGTTGTTTAAGGATACAGGTGGACCTGTTGCAACAATAAGAAGTACAAGTTGTCATGTCCAAAACGAGCTTTACAACGTTGGTACGGGGGGGGGGGGGAAGGGGGGGAAAGGGGGGGAAGGAGAAGAATTGGGATTAGGGGGGGAGGGGGGAGGCTGGGAAGGGATGTGAAGGGTAAACAAAGGAGGAGGCTGCAATGCTTGGTAAGAAATGTACGCATTATCCTGCCCATGTAACTGTAACTCCTCTGTACAGTATGTTCACAAATAAAATTAAATTAAATTAAAAAAAAAAAAAACATTTGGGTAAATGCCCAAAAGTAGGATTGCTGGATCATAGGGGAGCTCTATGTGGAGTCTTTTGAGGAACCTCCATACTACTCTCCAAAGTGGTTGAACAAGTTTACACTCCCACCAACAATGCAGTAAGGTTCCCTTCTGTCCACATCCCCTCCAGCATCTGTTGTTTAATTAGAATTCTTGAGAGGCTTCTTTGAGGCCCATTCCTTCTATAAGAAATACCACAGGCTTGTCATGTGGGCATATAGATTCACATATACCTAAACTCATATACTCAGAAGGCAGAAATGGGGAGGATTGTGATTTGAGGCAAACTTTAGCAAAAAGTCAGCAGTACCCTGACCCTGTCTCAACTAATAAGCCAGACATATGTAGGAGACATAGATAGATGGATCCTGGTTAGATCCCAGCCCCAGGCAAAAAGCTGGAGACTAATGGAAAAATCACTAAGGGCTGGGGTGTGCTCAAAATGAAAAGACTAGCATTCAGATTACTACACTCCCAATACATCAGGAAAATCAGCATCTGATGAGACTGCCCTTTCTTTGCTAGTTGATCTAAAGTTACTTCATCTCCTATTAAAACCCTAGAATTGAATTACCTCTGGTGTTCTTCATATTAATTAATTGAATTAATATAGTGTAACTGTGAGAACCAGAGGCACTGGAAGTCCCGCCCCTTGCTGTTGTTACCCCACTGGGATCACTGGGGAGGGGGGCACCTAGAGAGAGAAAAAGAGAGAGAGAGAAAGAGACTGACTTGGTGTTGCAAGGGAGGTGGGAGAGAAGGAGACACAACAGGAAAGAGATATCTCCTGGAGCAGAGCAGTGCCCAGAGGAGAACCCAGGCCCACGGAGATGCCTGAGGAGACGGGGCCAACAGAGAGGCCTGCAGAATGCCCTGTGGAGAGCAGAGAGGCCTGTGAAGAGCCAAGAGGCCTGCAGACAGTGGAGGCCTGCAGACAGTGGCAAGGCATATGGAGAGGCCCACAGAGATCTGAAAGGCCTGCGGAGAGGTAGAGAGGCCTGTGGAAACTTGCCCCCTTGAACGTAACAGCTGTTCCTAGTTCTGAGGTAACCCAGGACAGGACAGTTGCAGACCAACTAATAAAACTCCTTTGTCACCTTTAACTGAGGCTCTGTGGATTTTCTCACTCCCAGGTCATTATATAACTAATAATTAGTACAGTATAACTAAATGTGCTGTAACTGAGGTATTATAATTTACTGACTACATATATTGTATATATATATCACTTTTAATTGTGCATTTTAATGAGTTTTAACATATTTAATATGCTCACTATAATCAACACTCCCTTCTTCCTCTCCCCCCGCCCAACACACACAAGATTTCCTTATTAGTCATTCTAGTCTATCTCCATTCCTAGGGTACCACTTGATTTCTGTCACCATTTACTTGGTTCAGATTCCCTAACATTTTGTGTAGATGGAATCATACTTTTGCATACCAGCAGTCTTCAATCTGGTTTTTGGGGGGTTTTTTTGGGGGGGGGCAGTCATGGAGCCTGAACTCTGGACCTGGGCGCTGTCCCTCAGCTCTTCAGTTCAAAGCTAACACTCTACCACTTGAGCCACAGCGCCACTTCCGGCTTTTTTTTTTCTGCTTATGTGGTGCTAAGGAATCAAACCCAGAGCCTCAAGCATGCAAGGCAAGTGCTCTACCACTGAGCCACCTTCCCAGCCCATGTTTTTTTTAAAAATATATATTCATCCATATTTTGTTTTTATTTTCTTTTGGCAGTCCATGATAATTATACTCAAGTCCTCAGCCTTGTACCACTGTACCACTTGAGGTTCACCCACAGTCTTCATGTTGTTTTATCAGTAATTTTTTCTTAATTGTTGACTAATATTCCATTGTTTGGCTCTATAACAACTTGCTTATTGACTCACCCAGTGATGGACATTCAGATTGTTTTTGTTTGGGCTGTTTTTTACTTGTTTGTTTTTTGTTCTGTATTTTCTATCTGCAGTGTATGGGAGTTCCAGTTATTCCACATCCTTTTTTTTTTTTTTCTTAGTCATGGGGCTTGAATTCACGGCCTGGGTGCTGTCCCTGAGCTTTCTTACTCAAAGCTAGCTCTCTACCACTTTCAGCCAGAACACTACTTCTAGTTTTCTGGTAGTTAATTGGAGATAAGAGTCTCATAGATTTTCCTACCCAGGCTGGCTTCAACCCTTGATCCTCAGATCTCACCCTCCTGAGTAACTAGTATTACACACATGAGCACCAGCATTTAGTCAGTTAATACTTAATTAAATACTTTATTAAATAAAGGCTGGCCTTCACCATTCATTATCTTAGCAATTTTGTTGAAGATCAGCTGTACACTTATTTTTATCTGTTCCTACAGACTGTACTATTTCATTAATGGTTGTTTCTCTCTTTATGGCATTACCACACTGAATGGATTTCTGTAGCTTTAACTTCTCTAATTTCGTTCTTTTTCAAAAGTATTTAAACTTCTTCTTGGCTTAACAAAAAATTTTAATGTATTTTTTATTGTTATTGTAAAGGTGATATACAGAGGGGTTACAGTTACAGGAGTTAGTTAAAGAATACATTTCTTGGGTGTGGGTGGGGAGGGGTAGGGTGAGGGGAGATTGGAAGGGATGGTAAGGGGAAACAAAGGAGGAGGCATCAATGCTTGATAAGAAATGTACTCATTACCTTTTTCATGTAATTGTAACCCTTCTGTACAGTATTTTCACAATAAAAAAAATAAGAATACATTTCTTTTTGGACAATGTCACCCTTTCCCTCATCCATGACTTTTAAATAAAGTTTAGAATTAGTTTGTCAATTTCTACTCCCCCTCCCCCCAAAAAAGCCAGAGGGACTTTGATGCTGCTCTCAACCAATAAGTCAATTTGTAAAGTATTTTAATAACATTAAATCCTGGCTGGACATTGGTGGCTCACGCCTAGCTACTCAGGAGGCTGAGATTTGAGGATGGGTGTTCAAAGCCATCTGGGGCAGGAAACTCTGTGACATTTTTATCTCCAGTTAACCACTAGAAAAGCAGAAGTAGAACTGTAGCTCAAAGTGGTAGAGTGGCTAGCCTTGGGCTGAATTGTCCAGGGACCAAGTTCAAGCCTGGTGACTAACAAAAACAAAATCTTGCTATCCACAAACAGTGGTATATTTTCCAATTTATTACGTCTTTTTCAGTTTATCTTGGCAGGATTTTATAATTTTCATTTTGTAAATATCACATATATTTGTATTGCATTTGAAACCTTTCATATCAGGGTACAATTTTTAAATGTTTAAAAATTTTATTATGACTTCATTGCATTTATGGAGAAATACAGTTAGCATTTGCATATTACTCTAATGAACTCATTTGCAAGTTCCAGCAGCCTTTATAAGATTCTGGATTCTGTGTATGTGACTGATCATGTCTCAGTAAAGACAATTGAGTTTTGTCTTCCCTGTTTGTATGTCATAATTACTTTTCATGTTTTATTTCATTGGCTATCAGTGTTGAATAGAAGTGGTACAGTGTGGTACAATGTTGAACAAAAGTGATGAAAGTGACCATTTGTGCCTTGTTCCTAAAAAATGTATTTAATATTTAATATTAAACTATTTTACCTGTAGATTTTCCTTTGCTTTTTATTGGAGTGGGCAGTTTACATATAACATAACTGATATATTTGGATGTGTCTGTACCAGCCTCTTGTTTATTTTGATTTTAAAACCATCTTTTCGGCCTATTTTCTCCTTTTGTATGTAATTGTACATTATCAGGTATTTGAAGTGTTTTGGATTTTTTTCTTTTATTCATTTTTCTCTATTATATTTTAGTTGTTACTTTATCATAGTCTTTGTCAAATACAGTTCTACAAGTGAATTAAATCCCAATGTTCTAGGCATCTATTATAAATAATGTGTTAATCTCTCTTATTCATCTGTTGTGTTACTATGTACTGTCCATGAGAGAATTAAGAAAATCATTTCTTACATTATTTTTTGGTACAAGTGATTGAACCTTTTATATGCTAGGCATATGCTCACCCCTGAGCTATAGCCCCCATTTCTATTTTCTGTTTTGTTGTCTTTTGGACCTATGGTCAAAAAAGGCTGCCTTAGAATTTTAATAGATCCACAGAATGTATTGCTCTTTATTTTAATTTACTACTTCTAGTGTTACTGGTAAAGTTCAGTTCTTCTGGCACACAAGTGACAATACTTGGCAGATAAGGGTCAGTGAGAAGGAAATCAGGTTTTATTATAATAAACCAACTGCTGGGGAAAGTGGCTTAACTCTTGTCCTAGTGTCCATTTCAAAGAATCCAGGTCTGCAAAAAGGGTATTTATGAGAAGGAGAAAGTGGAGAGTGAGCTAATGGACAGGAAAGCTATGTGCTGAGTTGTGTCTCTTAGGGAAGAGTGTTTTTTTTTCTCTCATCTGTGATGACCCCCAAGCCATTCTTCAGATAAATACTTTATTTTCATGTAAAGCTAAACTTCCTATTTTTAATTACAGAGCAGGATTAGCAAATCCTTGGTCCATGCTTTGATGCTATGGAAGCCCACCAGCTGGTTCTAGATTTGAAAAACTAAGATTACAGATGAGAAGGTCCAGACCTATATGTTTTCTCTTTGTTCTTCTTTCCTAGGATAATTATGTCTGAAGTAGAGATAGATGGCAGTAGTGGTGAATATCGCAGACACTCAAAGGTGGGGAGGCATCTATTAAAAGTTTTCCATTTGTGACAATTTTAGTGATACTAATAGGATGCTGGCACTGGCATGACCTTCTGGAACAGGAGGTGTGATAGGCTCCCACAGAATTGAAGGAAGTTAGTGGGCAATTGGTAGTGAACAGGCAGACCAAATTATATGAGCAGTGAAACAATAAATGTTTTTTCTACTTTTATGATTTGATACTTGATGGCATTTGATGACAGGCCAAGTGAAGGCACCATGTTCCAAAGACAGCTATCCAAATGGTTCCCTGATTGCCATGCACTCTCACCAGTTTAATAACCTGCCTCAAGTTCATCTGATTGCCAACAGCTAGTATATAAAATTCATCCTGGGTGGACAAAGGATTCCACCAACTTCCAGAAGACAGTTATAGAGTCAGATGACAAGGAATAGAGACTAAGTAAATTATTAGAATTTTGGCTGGTGTGCTAGGATAATAGGAAATACCTAATATTTAAGGGAAAATAATACAAAATGCTTAGCTGTCTTATCATCTGGCCCTTCCTATAGTCTGTCATTTGGAAGATCAATTTGGCAGTAGTAGTAAGCTCAAACCCCTGAGCAGTGCTCAATAACTCCCAACCATCTACTTGCCTTTCTTCTAGACTGTAGCATACTGCTTACCTTACATATGTTAATAAATTGCTTGTTTGTTAGCTCTTATTTAGTCACACTTTCATAAGCATAGTAAACCAATTTCAGTATTACCAGTTCTCCTATGACAATCATATAAAGTATATCTTGTGAATGACTTCTATCCATGATTAATGTGACCTATTACTTGTTGGTTCTTCTTAATTTTCCTCTCAAATGGTAATTTTCCGTGTTTTGGAGCAATCCTGTATGGTTATGATATTTGTAGGTAAATTCTGATCTGTTCCAACTGAAACAGATGAAGGGACAGAGTATGTATTTTATTTGAAATTTCTTTTTTCTTGTTCCAGATGATGAGACTAAGATCAAGATTGGAGAACCAGCTTCAGAGGAGGAAATTATAGCAGAAATTATAGCAGAGCCACTGACTGAAGAGTCTGGCAATACCAGAACAGATCTTCTCCAGGATGATGAATACAGAGAATTCTGTGAACTCGGAGATAAACTGGATGAAGAGGATGAGAACTTCCTTAAAAAAAGACAGCTTAATTGTGATGGATGTGACACAAGCTTTGCTTGGAGTACAGGCCTTCTTAGGCACCAAAGAACCCATTGGGAGAAACCCTATGAATGTGATGAATGTGGAAAAGCCTTTCGTATGAGGTCTGCCCTGGTTCTGCATCAGAGAATTCATACTGGTGAGAAACCCTATCCTTGTCATTGGTGTGTCAGAAGTTTCATTCGGAGCTCAGACCTCATTAAACATCAGCGAGTCCACACAGGTGAAAAACCTTATAAATGTGATGAATGTGGGAAAGCCTTCAGTCAGAGCTCAGATCTCATCATCCATCAGAGAATTCATACAGGAGAAAAGCCCTATCAGTGCAGTCATTGTGGTAAAAGTTTTAGCCAATGCTCTGACCTAGTAAAACATCAGCGAATCCACACTGGAGAGAAGCCTTATACATGTAACCAGTGTAACAGACGCTTTAGTCAGAGTTCTGATGTTATAAAACATCAGCGAATCCACACAGGAGAGAAGCCATATAAGTGTGATGTGTGTGGGAAAGCCTTCAGTCAGAGCTCAGATCTTATTCTACATCAGAGAATCCACACTGGGGAGAGGCCATATCCATGCAATCTGTGTAATAAAAGCTTTAGTCAGAACTCAGACCTTATTAAACATCTAAGGATTCACACTGGAGAGAAACCCTATAAATGTAATGAATGTGGAAAGGCTTTTAACCAGAGCTCAGTCCTTATTCTACATCAAAGAATTCACACCGGAGAGAAACCTTATCCATGTAATGAATGTAGCAGAACCTTCAGCAGGCTTTCAGATCTTATGAATCATCTGCGAATTCACACTGGTGAGAAACCTTTCCCATGTACTCAGTGCAGTAAAATGTTTAGTCGAAGGTCAGACCTTGTTAAGCATTACAGAATTCACACAGGTGAGAAGCCCTATGAATGTGACGAATGTGGAAAGACCTTCAGTCAGAGCTCCAACCTTATTCTACACCAGAGAATCCACACCGGAGAGAAACCCTATCCATGTCATTATTGCACTAAAAGTTTTAGTCGCCGCTCAGACCTTGTAAAGCATCAAAGAATCCACACTGGTGAGAAACCCTACATGTGTAATGTTTGCCGGAAAAGTTTTAGTCAAAGCTCAGATCTCACTAAACATCACAGAATACACTCTGGTGAAAAGCCCTACCATTGCACTAGTTGTGAGAAAGCCTTCAGTCAGAGTTCTGACCTCATCCTTCATCAGAGGATTCACACTGGAGAAAGGCCGTACCTGTGCATGTGGTGCAACAGGGGCTTCAGTCAGAACTCAGACCTTATCAAACACCAGAGAATCCACACTGGAGAAAAACCGTACGTATGTAACAAGTGTGGGAAGGCATTCAGTCAATGCTCAACACTTATTTTACACCAGAGAACCCACACCGGGGAGAAACCCTATTCATGTGTTCAGTGTGGCAAAAGCTTTAGCCGGCGTTCAGATCTCATTAGCCATCAAAGAATCCACACTGGTGAAAGAACATGTAAACGTTATAGATATGGGGAAACAGTCAGCCTGGACACAGAACTGAATGGACAGCAGAGCAGCCACACTGAAGACAAACTCTTCCAGTGTGTTCAGTGTGATAGGTGTTTTAGCCAACTCTCTGATCTTCTTGATCATGAAAATCTCCATGCTGAGGAAGACAATCTAACTGAGATGGGTGTGGGGAAACCTTTATAGTGTGTGCACCAGCATTATTCAGGACCAGAGATAACCATACCAGAACAACAATCTTATGAATGCAATTAAAGAGTGTGAAATAAGGTCTTACTCAGTGTTCAACTCATGCTACATTTAGAAAACTATGAAGAAAAAAAAAGCAACTTGATTTTTGTTATTTAATGTGTCGGCTTTGGCAGTACTGAAAACTGAGAAAAATACTAAGGAAGAATTCTGGGAGTTGTGGGGAAAACTTCGTTGTTAATAAATTTTTTTTCATGAATGTTAGTAAGCAGCAATAGAAAGAAATTCTTGGTTGTGTAAGAGAAACTAGACTTTTATTCAGACACAGTGCACAAGAGGGACGTTATATCACAGGAAGGAATGTACAGCAACATTAATATAGGATTTATCAGATTAAAAAAATCAGCATGGAAAAGAGATCTACAAGCTTCAGCAGGAAATATGCCCATTTTAGAATCCCAAACCTTTGGTGAGTCCAAATTATCAATTGCATAAAAGACGTTATTTTAGAAAATGTGGCTGAGGAATGGTGGCTCTTGCCTGTAATCCCAGCTACTCAGGAGACAGAGATCAGGAAAGTCTAGGTTTGAGGTCAGCATAGACCCCATCTCAACCATGCCAGAAGCCATAGGTAAGATGATTGCATTCTGAGGTCCACCTTGGGCAAAAACATGAGGCCCTACCTGAAAAACAATTAAATCACAAAAGGGATTAGGATATGACTTAATCAGCATAATGCATTGAGCTCAAGCCCTAGTACTAATGGGTAAGCAGTGTAATCTTGATAAATGAGAATTCGAATCTACAACAGAGGTAGCCAACTAGGCTAGAATTCCTTATATTTGTTTTCCTTTTTTTTCTTTTTGTTTTCTTTCTTTTTGTAGTATTGCTGGAACTCTTTATGTGAAACTTGTATACAATATATAGCAATGTTACCTTTCTAATTCCTAGTAGAAATAATTTGTACTTTCCCTTTTTATGATCAGTCTGACTATAAGTTTGTCAATTTTATTAAGCTTTTTTTTTACAAGACAAGTTTGAGTTTAAATAGATTATAGAAATTTATTTTTGGTTTTTGTTGATTACTGATGTAATCTTTGTTATTCTTATATGTTTTTACTTTAGGTTTATTGTTGGCCTATCTTTTTTGTTGGTTTGTATCAGTCTTAGGGCTTGAACTCAGGGCCTAGACGCTGTCCCTGAGCTTTTTTACCCAAGTGTTAACATTCTAGCTCCGTTTTTGGCTCTGTGTATGTGTGTGTGTGTGTGTATCTGTCTGTCTGTGTGTCTCTGTGTCTGTGACTGTGTCTGTGTGTGTTTAATTGGACATAAGAGTCTCACTTTCGTGCTCATGCAGGCTTCAAACTGAGATCCTCAGATGTTATCCTCTTGAGTAGCTAAGCATGTGCCACAAGCAACTGGCTATTTTCTCTTCTTAAGTAGAAGTGATTGAATTTAATTTGTCTCCAAATACAGAGGTAGTATAAGTTTTCCCTTAACTTTAACTGCATTTCATCAATTATTATTGCTATTTTAATATGCTTTATTTTTAGAGCAGTCTGAAGGTACAGAATTGCCCATATCCTTCATATGCATATACATGGATAGTAATTTATCACCCCAAACCCATATTCTTAGGGTTTGCCTTTTATGTTGATGTGATACAGAATAGTTCCACCGCTTTAAGAATTCTCTGTGCTTTACCCAATCATCCCCTAACCTTTGGATCTGATTGCATTGTGTGAACCTATTTTGGACTATTTCATGGGTCTGTTTATTCTTTGTAGTAAATCATGATGTCTCACAGTGTTAGTCTTCCAGCTTTTTTCTTCCATGTTGTGTCTTGGTCTTTTGCCTCTCCTTACAAACTTTAGATACATGTTGTCAGTATTCATCAAATAATTTCATTTAGATTGAGATAGACAATCTATACAACAAGATGAGAACTATCATCTTGATGATACTAGGCTTCTTATCCATGAAAATGGACTATCTGTCAAGTTCTTTGATTCATCAGTTTTGTAGTATTCTTAATATCGATCTTGTACATTTTGATAAATTTATACGTTTCAGTTTCTAGAGATGTCAGTGTAAGTGCTACTATGTTTTTAATTTCAAATTTAACCTTTCATTTTTAGTATATTACTTGTAATTTTGTGTGTGTGCTGGTCTTGGGATTTGAATTTGGGGCCTAGGTGCTGGCTCTTAGCTTAATTGCTCAAGGCGAACACTCTACCACTTGAACCACAGCTCTACTTCTGGCTGTTTTTAATTGTTAATTGAAGCTAAGAGTCTCACACACTTTCCTGCCCCCACTAGCTTAGAACCATAATCTTCAGATCTCAGCTGTCCAGTAGCTAGGATAACAGGTGTGAGCCAGCAGGGCCAAGCTCATGACTTCCAATGTCTGATTGCCTGTCAGGCATTATATACTGTGCATTGTTGGATACTAAATATATCAAGATCCAAATACATTGAGCATTGTATGGGATGTGTTTACCTCTGAGGTCTTACATTTTTTTCAGTCAGTGTTTAGTCTATGGTTCATGTTTTCCTACTTATAAATTAAAACTTGCGCTAGTACTCTGGTACTGCTAATACTACTAGTAGTTGAGTTTCTCAACTTTAGCAACATAGTCATTTGGGATGGGTTGCTGCCTTGTTCTACATAGTAGGATGTTTATCAGCATTTCTTGCCTATATTCAGTAGATGTCAGTAGTGCCTACTTCATGACCAAAATGTTTGGGGGAGAGGTATGATTTTGAGGATCACTGCTCTTATGTCCTGTAGATTGTAAAGCTTTTCTGAAGAGTTCCAGTGATTTTTTGCTCTAATCCTGGATTTGCCCCCTCCACTCTCAAATACTCAAGGAGGACTTGTAGTACTCTTTCCATGCCATTATCTCCTCTCTGGTATTCATCTCTGCAAAAGCTAAGCCACGTTACCCTGGACTCTTTGCTCTCCATCTGCTCCACTGAGACTGACCCCTAAACTTCCTCACCTCCATCTAGATGCGCTCTCCAGGTGGTAAACTACTGTTATCCTCACGTTTCCTATCTCTATCCTTGCTTTTATTTTTTTAGGCAAGTTAGAGTTAACACCTGTATATACCACCTCAGCCTGAAAACTTCAGTTTTGGAATAATAAAGTGTTTGCTAATTAAGAAAATACAAAAACGGGGCTGGGAAGGTGGCTCAGTGGTAGAGCGCTTGCCTTGCATGCCTGAGGCCCTGAGTTCGATACCTCAGCACCACATAAGCAAAAAGAGAAAAGCCAGAAATGGTGCTGTGGCTCAAGTGGTAGAGCGCTAGCCTTGAGCTGAAGAGCTGAGGGACAGCGCCCAGGCCCAGAGTTCAGGTCCCACGACTGGACCCCCCCCCCAAAAAAAAAATACAAAAAGAAGAAAATATGTGCTAGAGGGTTAGAAGAGTGTATTTCTGAGTAGGTGTGATGACTTCAATCCAGTGGTAAGGTTAACTTTGAGCAGCAGCCCTGACAGCTGACGTATCTGAAGACAGAAGAAAAGCAAAGAATCCACGCCAGCATATTCTTGAGTTATTTTCTATGTCCTAAATATCTGCCTTAACATGTCTATTGAGTGGTGACGCAATTTAGATGGCAGGGACCAGGAGGGTTCCTCTTGAGAAAATGAATCTGATCTGTGTAAGGAAGCAGGTAGAGACTGGTGAATGTTCCATGTCTGGGAAGAGCAAGTGCAGAGAACCTGATGTAAAAATAATGCTTGTTTTGCTTGAGACAGTAAGGAGGCTGGTGTGGCTGAACTGGAATGAACACGGGTCAAAGATGAGTCTGGAGAGAAAGGAGGAGGGCAGCAGGCAAAGTCGGACCTAGCTGACTACTGGGGTAAAATACTTTTCCTTTGGGAAAGGAGTGATAACACAAATAAAGTTGAACAAGGTCTCCACCTACTTTAAGTTCTTAAAATATCTCTTTACATATTTCCTTATTTATGAAGGCAGTAATAGGGAGCAGGGGACTCACCCATGCCACCCATGGGTCTGCATTTCTAATAACATCCTAACATTTTGATGTTCTTCATTGACCTTGACTTATACCTATTAAGCCATATACATATAATCAGGGATTGAGCCCCAGCAGCTTTAAGCACAGGCTTGAAATAAAATGAAGGTCTCCACCATGTTGAGATGGAAGCCATGGGAAGGACTGTAAGGGACAGATACAGGTGATGCAGTTAGGAGGTGGATGCACAGAGACTCAGCGTAATACCCAGCCATCATAGAGTCCTGGATTAATGAGTCTGGAAAGATGGGAAGAACTGATTGCATGAAAAGTTGCAGACATTTTTAACACATTATTCACTTATTGTTGGAATATAATGTATGCATGCATGGTGTGTGTCGGGAATGAAGTAACAAATGAGAGAGGCTGATGGAAGGCCATTCTAATTTTATTATAATGCATGAAGTCTAGAGTTTAAAATTACATTTTCTACAAATCAATAAGAAAATACAAATAACCTATATTAATCAGGACAGAAATCAAATTCAATTACCATAAACAAGGAGGAGACTTTATTGGCTCACAAAATTTTAAAGTCCAGAGGTAGGGCAGGCTTTAGGCACAGCTGGATCTAGGGCCTCCATAAAAATGACATCTGAATGTGGCTCTTTCCATTTCTGTTAGCCTCCAATTGTCTCTTCGTTCTTTATCCATGTGGTAAAAATTCAGGCTTATATGGTCCTTGGTTCCTGGTGTCCCCATAAAGCTGCCTTTCCAGTAGTTCCAGCAGAAGTTCTGTTGAAAGCTCTCTTTAGCCTAGGTTAACTTACTGTATGCTTGCTTTCATTGAAGTGGCTGGGGAGCTGTGGAACTGAGGACGCCAGGCTTGGTCATGTGCTCACTTATGTCACATGGAATGAGTTCACAATAAATAAAGGTTCTGTTACCAAAGAAGATGGGACAGGAAATGCTAAGAAAAAAAAAACACCACCAAAAACCAAAAATCATATCCACACTAACACGTAACCCAACAGATATGCAGGGAAAGTTTACCAACAACCCATGGTAAAACTATAAAAGACCAACAGACATGAGCATGACTCCCAACTCCATTATTAACCAGGGAAATGCAAAATGAAGTATTTTTACTTTGCCCAAGAGATGAACACTATAGAGGTAAATCTATGCAGGGACATGAGTTTTCCAAATAGCTGGTAGAAATATAGAAGTTATTGGGCTCTCTCAGAATGCTTAGAGGGATGGCCTGTCAGGCAGAAAGCCTTTTAACCCAACAATCCACCTTATAGAACTCCACCTAAAAAATATTCACACACATGCACAAAGACATCTGAGTATGATGTTCACTTTGACAATATTAACAGCAGGGGGGAAAAAGGAATGGCATTTTCATAGTATTTAATCCCATTAAAGAAACAAGCAATTCATACATATAATTCTACTTATGTAAAAATAATGTATGGAAAGGGTACTCTGAAGGTGTATACTAGGAAGTCCTGGAGAAAACAGTTTCTGCTCTTGCACTGATATTGCATGTTAAGTTCTGTATAATGAGAAGCGAGTCATTTATATTATACCCAAAAAAAAACAAAAGAGGCAAAAGTAATTCACAATATAATGACAGGTTTGAAAAGGTGTTCCTGCAAACAAAGGCACAACAAAGTACAACATAGCCAGGCGCTAGTGGCTCACACTGGTAATCCTATCTACTAAGGAATCTGAGATCTAAGGATTGTAGTTCAAAGCCAGACGGGGCAGGAAAGTCCATGAGACTGTTATTTTCAACTAACCACCAGAAAACCAGAAGTGGACCTGTGGCTCAAAGTGGTAGAACGCTAGCCTTGAGCAAAAGGACAGCACCCAAGCCCTGAGTTCAAGCCACATGACCAGCAAAAAACAAATACAAAACAAAACAAAAAACCAATATAACACATCCTGCCTATCGGATGGGCAAAAATTTTAAGTATTCAGGGCTGGCAGTACACACAGCATTCTTATTATTGATGGAATCGTAATTAGTGTCTATATGATTGTACTTCCCAGCCATGTCAAATGTGTATACTCTTGACCCAATAAATACATTTCTAGCTATTTATATTACAGAAATACCCACACAGGTAGTAGAACGTATGTATAGGGATGTCAACCTCTATCTATAAAGCTAATCATCCATCAATATGGAGTTGGTTAGATGAATTAAGAGTATATTCATGCAAGAGAATAGTATGCAGCTATGGAAAAAATGTCTACACCAATATGGGTAAAAGGAGGCATCTCAGTGCAGTACATATATGAAGTTACTTACCTACCTCATGTGGTTGCTAAGGATTAAGACTTAATCCATATTAAAGAGCTACAACTGGTTCCTGTACACATCAACCCAAAGTGCTGGCTATTAACAAATTTTTGCTCAAATATTCATATGTCTAGAGGCTGGAACGACAACAAACCAAATTACCACTTCTGGATAAGGCTGTTTTTACATTCTAAAATATTTTTCATTTTACATTTCTGTACTATGAAAATCTGAAATGAACTAATAGTTTTACATTTGCTCAAACAAAAGCGGTATTGATTAAAATTTAACTGCGACCACTCATAACACAAAAATCATGTCCTTGGAGTCTACAGAACTAGATTTGAGTTTTAGCTCTAGTTAGTCACATGCAAGTCAAGATCTGAATCTTACTTTCCTAGTCTACAATTATTGAGGTAGGTATAGTGTCTAATCCAATGCTCAGCATGCAGATTATTTAAAAACATGGAACCCTCCCCTTAGCTTACACAAATGTAAGACACTGCTAAAGACTAGATGTTAACTGAGTGTGAATATGAACAGCATAACCTCCAAGGCCACCAGAACATTTACCAGAAACTAATAGATACTCAGCAATCTATGTGCCCTGACAACGCTGCTCATTTGCTAAACAGATATTCTAATTAGGACACTGGTTGTTGCCGTATCACCACTAAACTGGAAGCTAGGTACCCCCCCCAGCTCACTGATTACCTGATCGGGTATGGATGAATATTTGGATGAAATCATAAATCACACCAAAGTTATTTTAAGTCAATTTGTCTAGTGGGGGCTTAAGCCTAACTGGAGATGGTAAATACACATCCCATCATTCCCGCCCTTATATACCAATATCAATGTTTTCTTGTTTGTTTTGATCCAGTCTCCTTTCTCCAGACCTTTCCCTTGCCCAAGAATCATTTCTGAACAATGTACAGATATCAGACCTGGAACCAGATCACATCTGCTAACTCATTTCTGTGCTCTCAAATTACCAAACATCTTTGGCATAACACATCTACCCCAGGGAAGCTTCCTTGTATATAGAAAAGACGATCTTTAAATGTGAAATTCCAGCATTCCAAATATGCCACCTCAAAACCTACTTGGAAAAAAGGCCAGTTATAAATAAATCAATCAAGATCATTTTATCTTAGAGCAGAGGAGTTTATAGCTTTATTGGAAATTGACTTGTTTCCTCCCAGCACAGAGAAAGACTCAAACAAAAGTCCCTACACTTTCTGGTATAACTTAAAATACATTATATCATTACTACATATTTATACTTCAATAAATCTTAAGTCTATAAAGCACATTTCTTATAATTGTTATCAGAAAAATCTATTAACAAGCTCCATTCTGCTTCAGTTCTCACCAGCTGGCCTTGAATTTATTACTTTTCTCATACAAATCTCACCTTACATTTTAAAATTTGATCCAAGAACCAGATATAAACCAAAACTCCAGAACTATGTACTATCTATATTTGCCTGGATCACCTCACATACAATGATGACCATTTTAAAAGCCTTTTCTTATATTCAATGTTTTAACTTCCAGAATTTTCCACCCAACAGTAGAACCACAGTACTCGGAATTCTCAGCCAAGGAGTATAAAATCCTACTACTACAATGTATTACTTTAATACATTTTTTTAAAAAATGTGTTAAGAATGAAAATCAAAAATACTTCAACCAATTCTGTTAATAAACTAGTTAATAGCCTAGTTGTTTATTTTTAAAGTAGTCCATTCAACTTAACATGTAAGTATGATCTAATCTTCTAGAAACTGAGTACATGTTTTGAAAAAAATTCCTCCTCCAAACTGTGACACAGAATTATCTTGTACTCACCTCTGAAGAAGACTCCTGGAGAGCTAGCTAGGTCTGAGCCCAGTCCTTCTCTCCTTCCAAACACAACACCCTACTAAAAGAACTACTGCTCTGGGAATCTCAGAGGTAACTTCCCCTGTGAATGCTGATAGGGAAAGAGGCTAAATACATAAAAAGGCTTCTTACTAACCCTCCTAGGACTTACAGTGAAAGAAACACCTACCTACTTAGGGTAGGATTACAGTACCTAGCACAGTGCCTTCTCAGTAGAAAATGTTTACTAATAAACACATGGCTGTTCTAGCCTGTTGTCAACCCTTTTGTACCAAAGGAAAATAGCAAACCTGATACTTGTTTGTCCTCTTGTCAGGCATTTTTTCTGTACTTAACAAAGATAAAGGTAAAATAACAATGAATTACATCTGTGAATCTTTCTCTAAAAGCCAAGACAGATTACCTTATACCATATGCTACAAATTCCTCCTTAGTGTTCTCTTTATACTTTTATAGCTATTGTTTAGACTGTCTACTCTTTAGTAAAACATGGGGAAAAAACATTTATTTCCATTAATAAGATGTGTCCTAATGAATGAGTTTTGTTTTTATTCTTTTTCCTGCAGAAAGATAACTGTACTTAAGAAAAACTGACACATTTGACTGCTTAGATCCAAGTATCTGGGTATCTTCCCAACGTGGATGTCCTCCCTTCCCTTATGAAGGAAGTGCTACCACATCACTTCTCTGAGATCTTAAGGCTCATTTTCTTTGAGGCTATTATCCATCCTTTATTTTCTATTTTCTCAAATATATATTCAAATGATGTAAAAGGAAAGAGGTCAGTTTTTTATAAGATACTTTTAAGTGGATGATGATGGTTCTCAGACTTTATAGTCCCTATTCTGACTTTTAAAAGTAGAAGGGAATGTATACTTACACAAAGCATTTCAATGATCAAATCATAAACAAGGTATCTGTCTAGAAAACTTTTAAGGGACAAAGAATCAGGTAGTTCATTGTTTGGAGGAAAAAAATAGAAAATACATCACATGTAAAATTTAGGCATTAACACCTGAATTAAATTTAAATTTTCAGTTTCTAGGCAGGCATAACACCATTTCTTTCCAGATAAAATATTAATGGTGAGCAAAGATTTCTTTTATATTTCCCAGTGGACTTTTCTGACAGTCAACAGGGAAAAAAACTATTCTGTATAACTTCATGTTTTAATTTTGTCTTCATATCTGAAGAAAAAGACCTGAGTGTTGATTTTTTTTTTTTTTTTTGTAATTTCTTAAACTTTCACAACATTCAGAAGTTTCTCTGCATTGTGTCTTCTCTGGTGTCTAAAAAGATTTGAGCTTTGACTATAGGATTTCCCACACTGAACACATTCATAAGGTTTCTCCCCAGTATGAATTCTCTGATGATTAATAAGCCCAGAATTCTGGCTAAAGGCTTTCCCACATTCAAGACATTTGTAAGGTTTTTCTCCAGTATGGACTCTCTGGTGTTGTACAAGGATGGAACTTCTGCTGAAGGCTTTCCCACATTCAACACATCCATAGGGCTTCTCCCCACTGTGAATTCTCTGATGAAGAATAAGGGCCGAGCCTTGACTGAAGTGTTTTCCACATTCATCACAAATATGTTGTTTCTTTCGAGAGGGATTTCTCTTTCTTTCAAATCTGCCCTTGGGGAAGCAGGCTTCTCCATATTTAAAAATTTGAGGAACACCTATATTAAGAGCACCAGGAACGCCATGAGATTCTCCTGTTGAAGCAATCTCCTGCTTTGAAGCTAGTGCTCCATTTTCAGTCCTGGCATCATCCTCTGAAACAAACAAAATATGTAAATATCCCTCAAATTCTACCTGGGGACAAAGGGAAAACATTTTCTTGAAAAAAGGAAATTTTAGGTGAATATCTTGTGCAGATACTAATGATAGCACTCTGAAAACTATTGTTAAGGTTGTTTACTCCCAAAAGAAAAAATAAAATGACTGATTTTCACTTTAAAAAGGTACTGGTGTGGTAACAGAATGACACAAATGATTCTACTAAACATTCTGAAGGGAGTTACAAATGGTAGATTCTAAGATGATCAGGGAGACAGTCACTTTTAACAGGAATAGGCCTAAATGTAACATTGTAAGAAAAAAAATAACCATCAGGAATCATTGTAATATTCTTTTGCTACATTCAAAAGCAAAGGTGTGAATAATAAGAAACCTGCCTGAAAGTAGCTACTTATAAAATGAGCAACTCATGCTGAGTTATAACCAAGAGAAGATTAAAAGCTTTAACCTAGGAGTCCTGGTAAGAAGAACCCAAAGATAAGCTGACAGCATCCTGTGTTAGCATGACACTTAAAAGTTAAATAAATTAGTTTCCTGTACATGAAACTTGCCTTAGATGGTCATTTGACATGGTACTTTAAAAAAAAAAGTTACTTCTAAGTTTTAGTGAAATGTGCCTTGTGAAAGAAAAGCCTGGATTGCTAAGAGTATGAGATACCATAACTGACCTGAAGCAAAGATAAGAACACGCTCATTTAAGAGTTTTCCAGAAATTTCAAAACTTAAAAACAGTTGATATAGGACAAGCAGCATCAGATAAGCAATACTGTGTACAAAATAGACAGACCTGGTGGGTGCTGGCTCAGAATAAGACAAATGGCAGCAGAAAGAGGTCTTCAGAAAGAGGGTGAAAGAAAAGACAAGGCTGAAGACCTTAATGTCTAATATGTAGGAACAACAACAACAACAAAAAAATCGGAGGCCAGCAAACAAAACTGTTATCTGAAAAGAAGATTTACAGTGTTTTCTATTATAGCTAAAGTGACTCCCCTTCCCTACACTACTATGTAAGTACTCTGGAAAAAAGGCCCACTTGGAACTTTAGTCCTCACCACAGTGCCTTAGGGAATGGAGTTCCCAGGATGCCCACTTGAGCTGGTTCTCCACAGCGTCAAGCTCAGAACTGGGTAATCCCTGAGCTGCTTCTTGAGATACCATGTCTTCCACTAGCACTTCCCGTTTCCGACGACGGAGAGAAACCTGAAAAACAAATTTTTTTTTCAACTGAGAAAGAATTTTGATACTGGACACATAAAACAGAAACCAAACAAATCATACTGCCAAAAGCTTGGTGGCAAAGCAGCACAACTACCAGAAAGTGGCAAGGGAATAGGGAGAAGGCATAAATATAAATCTCAGTAGAGTGGAATACAATCAGCAGTTTGCCTACTGCTCTGTCAGTGCTTCTGACCCAAGACAGTGACACACGCAGGCTTACCGGCTGTCCAGGGTCGTCCAGTTCACTCTCCAAATCCTCCAGCACTGTCACTGCTTCCTCTCCATTCTCTGGATGATGCTCTCGAACCCAAGTCTGCAACTCCTTGGGTAGGATGGCAACGAACTGCTCCAGCACAACCAGCTCCAAAATCTGTTCCTTTGTGTGGGTCTCTGGCCGGAGCCATAGACGGCAAAGTTCTCGAAGCTGACTCACAGCCTCCCGGGGGCCTGGTGAATCCTGGTATCCAAACTGCCTGAATCGCTGCCGGAAAACCTCTGGGTCCGGCAGATGGTTCCAGGCAATACTGGACCCCTCTTCACCATCAGGATCCTCCTCTAACTTCACTCTCAGAATTTTTTCCTCTTCATCTGGAGTTGGAATGATAAGTATTGAATCTTCTTCCACTGACTGTGCAGACATCCTGATTTGTAATACTTCAAGAAAAGGCAATCAAGGGAGGATATAAACCTCAGGAAAATATCTTGTTTTCCTCACAGCTTTCCTGAGACACAAGAAATAAAAAATATACAAATGACCAAATATCCCAAGATTTGGATCAATACGGACAAAAAGGCACCTGTTCTTTTACAGAATTCAGCAACAACCTATGTGGCCAAAGCAGGCAAACTTTAGCTCATACTAAATCTGTCCTGCCACCAATTTTTGTACAATGGTTCAAGAATAATTGAAAAACACAGAAAGATGTTATTAATAAAAATATTCATGTGAAAACATGAACTTAAAAAAATCAGGGCATCTGGGACTCACACTTGTAATCCTAACTACTCAGGAAGCTGAGATCTGAGGCTCATGGTTTGAAGCCAGCCAAGGCAGAAAAGTCCCCCTGTGAGATTCTAATCTCCAATTAACCACTCAAAAATCAGAAGTGATGCTGTGGCTTAAAGTAGTAGAGTGCACACCTTGGGCAAAAGAGCTCAGAGACAGTGCAGAGGCCCTGAGTTCAAGCCCCACAACTAACCCCATCCCTAAAAAAAAAATCCATGTCCAAAAATGACTTTATTGGTTCATAGTTTGTTACAATAGCAGAGCTCAATAGTTTCAACTGAGTATTTACTTAGTATTTACAAACTTAGTATTTACTATCTGTCCCTTTATCCAAAAGGAAAGTATTTGCCAGTCTATGAACTGCAAAGTCAACAAGTCCTATTCCAACAATCAAAAGAATTCAAACAAGAGCCAGCCTGCCTCAGTGTTTTCCAAATACGCATGACCTTAGAACACTTTTTGTAATCAAAAGTAATATATGCACACACAGAGGTCAACTCAAAAGTAACAGCCTGTCTATGTGTGTGGTAGCGTGCTGGAGACTGAACCCAGGGCCTTGAGCATGTGCTCTACCACTGAGGTACATCCCCAGCCTAAGTGCTTTTTATCTGCTTAGTAATTTCTCCTTATAAATGTATATATATATATATATGTATGTGTACACACACATATACACATGTACACATATACACACATACATACACACATATGTATACACATATATACACATGTACACATATACACACACATATATACATACACATACATATTTGGTCATGGAGCTGGAACTCAGGGCCTGGGTGCTGTCCCTGAGCTTTTTCACTCAAGGCTAGTGCTCCACAACTTTGAACCACAGTGCCAATTCGTTTTCTGGTGGTTAAAGTGCCTCATGGACTTTCGTGCCCAGGCTGGCTTTGAACTTCAATCCTTAAATCTCAGCCTCATGAGTAGCTAGGATTACAAGTGTGAGACACCAGCACCTGGCAATAGCAGTTTTGTGTGTGTGTGTTTTTTTTTAAGTTAAAACATCTTAAGATTTTTAAGAACTCATTAATTAAAACATATGTGACAATGTTCACTTGCTCAGTAACAGATCACATTCTGGAAAGAAAAACATACTGTGCATTGCATGCAAATATGAGTCATCTACAGCACCATAAACGAATTTAAATGTAAAACAGGCATTGATCACTGTTCTGTTTTTTTTAACTTTTTTTTGTCTTTTCTTTTTTGGTGCTGGGGGTTGTATTCAGGACGTTGCACTTGCTAAGCAAGCACTTTGCCACTGAGCTACATCCCAGCTATTCTATTTTTTAAAAAACACTCTCAGAACTTCTAGCAGTAGCCGAGTACGTCTTCTACTTTTGGGGAGTCACTGTGCTATTTCCATCCAAGAGAAATTCGCACCGGTCTCTTAAAGACTCTGGATTGTGATGGATGGCTTTATAAATAGAGTCTACTCCAAATCCGTTCATCCCTATTCCAAGACACGACCTTACCAAGGGTTCCAACATTGTGTAATACAATTTGTTTTCCTTCTATGTTGAAGGGGCGAAGTGCTCGTGGGACGAGGGCCCAGAAGGCAGGCTCACAGTCCCGAGCGCTCCAGTAGTTTCCAGTGATCTCCCACCTGACCGTCGGAGAGCCGCTGTTTAACTCGGTCCGGAGGTTCTCGGTTTCCCCTTCCCAGTACTCCCGCAGTGGATGGCAGAAGACCGGAGGCTGCCCCGCCAACAGCAGCAGAAGCGGAGTCACACTACCTCCGCCGGTGCCCCAAGACTACAAGTCCCGGCAGCCCCCGCGCAAAGCCCGCCCACCTCCCCCCAGGACTCCCAGAACCCTCCGCGAAACGCCCGGCCCTCGAAATAGAACAAAACCGGTAGGTGGGGGGGAGGGGAGAGAGTGGCGGACGACACGGTAGTTGGAGAAATCTCGGCGGAGGCCCGGAACCGAGGTCTCCGGCCGACCCTTCCCTCCCTTCCGCCGCCGGGCTCGGAATCGCCGACCTTTTCTCGGCACCTCCCGGGAAACAGCTGGGTCGGCGGACCTCCTCGTCGAACCTCGCTGACTGAGCCGCAGACCCCAGCCCAGCCTCCCCCTCCTCGTCATCCCTTTCCCCCAACGCCGGCGCAAACCTCTGGCTCAGGAACCGCAGCAGTTTCGCTGTCCGCCGCAGCCGCAGAAACGCCGCTCCGAAGCCGTTTTCCCAGCAGCCCCCGGCGCGGACTGCTTCCGGTCTGCAGGCCCGTGGAGGCGGAGGGAGGCAAACCCCCGCGTTGCCATGGAGACGCGCTCCGGGCGGGGGAGGGGCGGCCTGACTACAATGACCGCATTGAGGACGCTCGGCCTGGCTCCTCCGCGGGAAGAGCCCCCGCGTTCCCTTAGGCCAGTTTGGGGGTTGCGTTGTTGTTGTTTTTTTTCCCCCAAAGGAAAGAACGCTGCTGTTGATAGTCCTCACGCCTCCCAGGCCGCTTCCCGTGGTCCTCACCGCAGTCATCTGAAAGAAACGTCCTGTGGCCCGGGAGCTTTTAGTTTGCCCATTTCACAGCCAAGATAAGTGAAGCACTGATGTGTAACTTGCCATGGACTACAGGTTTGTCAGGGGAGGCAAGGCTTTGTACCAGAATGCAGCTTGTATTTCGCTTCCCGCTGCGAATGTTGCAATGCTCTACCTTACCAAGGCCAAGCAGGTGCTTGGAGGAGGATGCCACCGCGAATTTGCAGAATGCATGGTCATCTGGCGTCAGGCTAGTTACGCCCTTACAAATCAAAAAAGCTGCAGATTTTAAAAGCAAAAAGGCGACCACTTCATCCTCCTATTTATATTCCTCCACTGCACACCACATACTCAGCGTGACTTGAAAACTCTTTACACTGGCCTGCAAGGTCCCCCACCCACCCACCCACCCACCCCGTGGTCGGTCTGCCTCCCTGCCCTCCGGAGGGAAACGCAGGCATATCATACCTCAGGAGCATCCGCCTCCACCTTCCCTCCTCCAAGGCTCCATATTTCTCTCAGTACTATTCTAAGTGATCTTACATATTTACCCATGTTTTGAATGTAAATCTCACACAAGCAGGGACCTTGTCAAGACTTGTTCACTCACAGTAATGTCACTGTCTCAGGATGCTGACTGTCTGGTACACACAGAACTTGTTGAACAAATGAGTGGTGGACAAGTTATATTGTTGTCTTTTCTCAGTCACATGTCAGGCCTCAGAAGCCACACAAAAGAGCCCTGTTGTTTAAAAGTCTTGTGGTCACACATGTGGGTGCAGTTTTCCAAGACATTTGGAGATCCTCAAGCTTGAGTTTTTTGTCTCATTTGGGAAAGCGCTTCCACAAAATGCCCTCTGCTGAGTTAATGAATAAGAAAGCAAATGAATAGCAACTAGTAGTACTGCACTATTTTGAACTCTAACCAGAACCTATCTCCTCCTAACTCCTTGCTGCTAACTCCTGGACTTTTGTTTTTGTTTTTTCAATGTGGGAGGCTGCAGAAATCTAGCCTTTTCACTTTCCTCCTTGGCTACTGCCAACAACCAGCTGGTCTGTTCTTTGCAACTGTTCTCTCTTTTATGACTTCTAAAGGCTAGCTCAGGGCATTTCGTTTTATTTTACTTTAAGGAGTTTCTATGTGTAATTAATATTGAAAAATAAAAATGATAAACATCAAACCAAAACACTTGAGGAAATGTTGCAAAATTTTATGAAATGCTTTGCCTATGATTCCCTATTCTGTTATCCCCAATTACTTTTAAAAAAAATAGTGAATGGAAACCAGAGAGATCCTTTTCCTCACTGTGCTACTTTTTTGAAAAAAGGGAACAACATTCACCCACTTTAAAACATCATCATTCTAAGCACTATTGTGGAAACTTTTTCCGGATGGTAGCCCTAGTTGCCTTATTAAGAGCCTGGTCAACAGAGAGTGTTCTGTACATCTGGGCAGTCTGGGTGTAAGGAACATCTGCATACCAGTCTTGACAACCTTACACACATCCATATAGGCAACAAAGGCAGAACCAGAGCCACAAACCTATAGGAATCCTGTCAGGACATCCATTGATCCTCTTCAAACAAACATTGGTACCAGCTAGGGTTCACGTTCACATTTTCTGCCAATTAAAAATTAAAGGGGCCAGGTGCTGGTGGCTCACGCCTGTAATCCTAGCTACTCAGGAGGCTGGGGTCTGAGGATTGCCAGGTCTGAGATCAACGCCAGCTGGGGCTGGAGTGTCCTTGAGATTCTTATCTCCAATTAACTACAGGAAGTGGTCTGTGACTTAAGTAGAGTGCTCCCCTTGAGCTGAAGAGCTCAGGGACAGCACCCAGGCTCAGAGTTCAAGACCCACAACTGACAAAATAATAATAATAATAACTATCATTAATTATAACTGTTAGCAAATTGAGTCCCTTCCTATAGCCTAGTACACTCCTTCCCCTCTCCACAGCTTAGCAGGCTCCCTTCCTAAGCAACACTAGGCTCATGTAGTAAAGGCAGTAAATAATGAACTTCCAACCCCCTTTACCTTGGGATGGCACTTCTCTAGGGCAGCTACCACCATATAAGGCAACAAGAGCCCCTTACAATAACCTTCAAGTTTGGGCAATTGCAGAACACTTATCTACTATTTGGACAGCAGCCATAAATCCTAGTCTGCCATGATGAAGCCCCTGGCCTGCAGTCCACACCAGGGTCTCTGCCTCCTAGTCCCTTCTAGCCTCCCCCAAACCTCCTAGGTTATATAGGTCACCCCAGACAATAGACATGCTGCTTCTCATTCCTCCCTCGTGAGAAGGAGTCTTGCCGGCCCCCTTTCCTGGCAATAATCTTTCTTGTCCTCTGTACCTGGATGTCTTTGTGGTTCTCTGGCAAAGTCTATTAATCTTAATTTTGCTAAGAACAACAATAATAACAAAGGGCAGAGAAGTGCTTAAACAAAGCAGGTTTATTGGCAAGTGAAAGAGCAGTGAAATGGACTTCTTATGTCAAATATCTTTTCTACATCAACTGATATAACTGTGGGGTTTTATTGATACTGTGGATTATCTTGATTATTTAACTACTGAACTAACCTTATAGTCCTAGAATAAAACTCACTTGATTCCAGTACAACATATATTCTCTGTATTTGCCTTATCATTGTTCTGTTTAGGTTAGATAATTTCTACTAATCTATTTTTCTCATCTCCATTCTTTCACTGAGCACTAATGTCATATTTTTAATTCTAAAATTTTCATTTGGCACTTCTCTGTGTTCTTCTATTTCTCTTTCTGTCCTAATATCTGTCTCTCCACTCTTTCACTCTTATTTCTTTTCTTTTTTTGGGGGGGGGGGGGTCCGGTCGTGGGGCCTGAACTCTGGGCCTGGGCGCTGTCCCTCAGCTCTTCAGCTCAAGCTGAGCACTCTACCACTTGTGCCACAGCAGCACTTCCAGCTTTTTTCTTTTTCTTATGTGGTGCTGAGGAATCGAACCCAGGGCCTCATGCATGCAAGGCAAGTGCTCTACCACTGAGCCATCTACCCAGCCCCTCACTCTTATTTCTTAAGCATAGTTATAGAACCTGTTTAAAGGTACTTTGCTACTAATTCTACCATCTTTATTATCTAAGCTTTGGCATAATTTGATTTTCTTTTTCTTTGCAAATTGAAATTCTGAGTTCTTCCTATGCCTAGTAATTTTATTATACCCACACATTTAGAATGTTACCATATGTGGTGTATTATTTAAGTATGAAGAATGTTTATTTGTCAATTTGTTGATTTTTACCAGGCAATTTCCCTAGCTGGAGACAGCCCTAAAGTTCTGTTCATTATGTGAGCTGGGCTTCCAATATCAGGTTTTCAAACATTTCCCGTGCAGTTCTGGCCTGTACTTGTATGCGCCACCTAGTGGCCTGTATTGGACTTACAGAAGATCCTAGGTCCTCAATATTCATGGTCTGAGGTTCAGAATGGCAATCTGGAAGGGACTCAAGGAATTCATAAATATAGAGTGTGATTTGGACTCACATTCTGTGAATCCTCTAAGTATTTGTATTGTTCTAAATTATGTCTTTAAGAACATTCATTTTTCAAGTTTTTCTTTTTAAAAAAAATTCTGGTAGAATATAATAAGTTTATTAGAACAAGAATTATATAAATTTTCTTTTTTTTTTTTGTTTAGTGATACTGGGGTTTTCAACTGAAGACCTCACACTTTCTATATAGGTGCTCTACCATGAGTCATGCCCCCAGCCTCTTCCAAAGTGTGTGTGCATGCATTGTGTGTGTATGTGTACCAGTCCTGGGGCTTGAGCTTAGGGCCTGGATGCTGTCACCGAGGTTTTTTGCTCAAAGCTAGCCCTCTACCACTTGAGCCCAGCTCCATTTCCAGCTTTGTGATGGTTAGTTGGGGAGAAGACTCTCATGGACTTTCTTGCCTGAGCTAGCTTTGAGCCACCATCCTGAGATCTTAGCCTCTGAATAGGTAGAATTACAGGCATGAACCACCAGCATTCAGCTTTTGCAAGATTTTAAACTATGGTAAAATATGACATAAAACATAACACTTTAGCTGCCCTTAAGTATACAATTCAGTGGTATGCAACCATTACCTACAATGTATCTCAAGAATTCCATTACTCAGCTGGGCGCCAGTGGCTCACACCTGTAATCCTAGCTACTCAGGAGGCTGAGATCTGAGGATTGTGGTTCAAAGCCAGCCCAGACAAAGAAGTCCATGAGACTCTTATCTCCAATAAACCTCTAGAAAACCGGAAGTGGCACTGTGGCTCAAGCAGTAGAGTGCTTGCCTTGAGCTGAAGAGTGCAGGGACAACACCCAAGCCCAGAGTTCAAGCCCCATTACTGACAAAAAAAAGAATTCCATCACTCTAATTTAAAACTCTATATCCATTAAACAGTAACTCTGATGCTCCCTTCTCCCCAGCTTTGGGTGACCACCATTCCATGTTATGTTTCTGCGAACTTGCCTACTCTAGGTACCTCAGTATAAATGGCATCATGTATTTATCCTTTCTTGTTTGGCTTGTTGCACTTAGCATGTCTTGAGAGTCATCTCATTGTAGTATGTTATTGGAATTTCATTCCTTTGAAAAGCTAAGTAATATTTATGTGTATACCACATTTTAACCCATTTATTTGTAGAAGTGCATTTGAGTTGTTTGTCTAATGTGAGTAATATTTTGCATCCAGAAGCATCCCTAACTAATATAGGTCGCTGAAGACAATCGGAGAAGGTAGAGTGAAAACACGGGATTATTAGTAATACTGAAGGCCCAAATAAAGTGATAGTTGCTAAGCACCAATTTTATTTTAGAATATTTACTATCACTAGAAATCAACCTAATGGAAGTGCTAATATCACAATATTTTTTTAAAAAATGTTAGCCAAACTCATAGTAATTCTCTATTTAAACAAAGTAGTACCATATACTCATCAGGAAACTTACATAAATGCAAAGTAATTCAAAATACATAGCAATGCTCTTTCTAAAGATTCATTACATACTTAGATCACATAGTTCTCCCTACTTTTGGGGATTATTCATAATAAAGAGAACATAATCTTACAAAGTTTATGGTGGCATCTGATTTTGAATCTTCCATCATATTCACATAGGACTTAAAAAACTCTAAAAAGTAAGCAGTAACTTTGCAGTAGATACCTCTGGATTATCTGTTTCAAGACATGGCTTATTCCTCTCTTTAATTACAAAGAGAACGAGCCCCAAATAAAAAGACTCTCATAG